TCAAGGGTTAAGATCCCCTTACCAGTCATCTTTTGAAAAAAATAAAAAAATAAAAAAATAAAATAAAATATAAAACATTAGGGGAAACATATCTGTATAAAACTTTGAAATAAAATTTTTTCAAAAGTTTTAGTGAGAAACTTGTGTTTAAATCCACGGTGTTTTAAAAATTAATCAGGGGTTGGCTGGTTAGCTCAGTTGGTTAGAGCATTGTGTCGATAACACCAAGGTCCGGGCTTTGATCCCTGTACTGGCCAGCTGCCCCAAAAAACCAACCAAACAAACAAAAAAAAACAAATAAAAAGTAATCAGGTTCTATGCTTAAAATGGGTACACGGGCTTCCTGATCAAAATTTTTAATGAGAATCTGTTCATCATTGCTGTGAGCTGAATTGTGTTCCTCTCCAAGAATCCCTACCTTGAAGTCCTGACTCCCAGTACCTCAGAATGTGACTATATTTGGAGATAGGGTCTTTAAAGAGGTAATTAAGTTAAAATGAGGTCATTAGGATAGTCCCTAATCCATTATGATGGTGTCCTTCTAAGACCGGGCAATTTTAACCGACACAGACAAGAGGGAGGACCATGTGAAGACACAGGAAGACAACCATCTACAGGTCCAGTAAAGAGGCCTCAGAAAAAACCAACCATGCTGGTACCTTGATCTCAGCCTCCAGAACTGAGAAAATAAAAATCCTGTTGTTTAAGCCACCCAATCTGAGGTACTGTTATACAGCACTAGCAAACCAAAACATTCACTATACTGGGAAGCCATGCACCGTAGGTAATAACTTTTACAACATTTTTCACAGGCATTCAAAAGTGTCCTGTACTGTATACGCCCCTGGAGCTGCATTCATCAGTGGCCCTGTCTGGCTGTGTCTTCAGCTGTGCCATGTGGCAGAAGAGCCTGTGTCTGGTTTTATCTGTTCAGGTGGTGGATCACCCCCTCGGCTGCACTCAGGGCACTGCGAGAGCATCAGGCATGAGATATAGCTTGTGCTCACCTGCTGCCAAGCTGAGGCTGTGCTGTCAGAACCCACTGTCCTCAGGCTGCCTTCCACAGACCCCCTGATGATGCCCGGAAGAGCATCAGCCAGGGGCTCCGGCTATCCCACAGGGTGGAGGGGCCGACATTGTAAGAATTTGCAGCACACCAAGATGTCATGTCACCCAAAGTGGCAAGCTCTGCTTTGAACAAGTTTTGCATATTTGAACTTTACATGAATTGTTTCTTTGGCAACTTGTACTTTATTGTTATTGCTGCACATTATCCTCCTGTTATCCGTGCTCTTGCAGGATCTCTTACTTGTCTTCACTGCTGTTTTCTGCCCACTCTGTATATGCCATAATTTTTTAAATCCATTTTATTGTTGATGGATATCTGGGTTATTGCCACTTTTAATTATTGGAAGCAATTCTCTGAATATACTGTGCATGTCTCGTGGAGTACTCAAAGTTTTCTCTAAGTGTATACCTGGGAGTAGAATTACTGGGCCACAAAAATATGTGCACTTTCAACTTTCCTATATAATAACATATTATTTCCCAAAGTGGTTGTACTTATTTATACCCCACCACAACATAGGTGTGCGAATTGCTCTACATTCTTGCCATACCTCACACTGCACCTTGTTCATTCCTGCCAATCTGATAGGGATGAAATGATACCTCACCGTGATTTTAATTTCCATCTTCCTGATTGCTAAAAAGTACTATGAACATCTTCTTCATATGCTTATTGGTTATCTTGATTTCCTCTCCTGGGAGATGCCTGTTTAAACTTCCTTTTTCTACTGGCAGTCTGTAAAGCTTGTTTATGTACTGTGGATAACAATCTTCTGTCAGTTATATATTTTGCAAATATTGTCTCCCAGTTTGGTGGTTTGTGTTTTTACTCTCGAGGGGTACAAACAGAATTTCTTAATTTTAATGTCGTTGAATATATCAGTTTTTTCCTTTATGATTTTTGTTTAATGAATCCTTTCCTAATGAAGCAGTTCTTAAGCTGGTTCCACCGACCACGTCTATGGGTAGACTGCAGGGTATCTGTGACTCCCTGAAATCATATACAAAATTCTGCATGGGTACATAAATCTGGGAAGAAGGGCCAGAGTTTTCACCAGCTTCTCAAAAAGCCTGTGATTGTGGTGGACTGAATTATGTCACCCCAAAACTCCCTGAAGCTTGAATTGTGTCCCCCAAGTTTTATGTATTAGAAACTTAGCCCCCATTGTGATTGTTAAAAGGGAGGGAAATCCTATCATGGTAATTGAAAGGTGGAGCCTTGAAGAGGTGATTGGATTGTAGGACCGTGCAGTAGTGAATGGATTAATAACGGTGGTCAGGGGTGTGGTTCTGAGGGCTTTAAAAGGAGAGTGTGTCTCTCTCTCTGCTCTCTCTGCTTCCACCATCTTGCAATGTGAGACCCCTGGGTCACTGTCGCCACCAGATGGACTTTGGACTTCCCAGCCTCAGAAACTGTAAGCAATAAATTTTGTTTCTCTTTATAAATTACCCAGTTTGAAGTATTTTGTTACAAGCAATGTAAACGGACTAATACAGTGATATAAAAACAGATTAAGAATCACTGCTAAGGCCGGCCCGTGGCTCACTTGGTAGAGTGCGGTGCTGATAACACCAAGGCCACGGGTTCAGATCCCTATATAGGGATGGCCGGTTAGCTCACTTGGGAGAGTGTGGTGTTGACAACACCAAGTCAAGGGTTAAGATCCCCTTACCGATCATCTTTTAAAAAAAAAAAAAAAGAGAATCACTGCTAAATAGTAAGGACTGCCACATAAAATATAATTTAAAAATTATCTTTCTGGGCCGAGCCCATGGCGCACTCAGGAGAGTGCGGCGCTGGGAGCGCAGCAGCGCTCCCGCTGCGGCTTTGGATCCTATATAGGGATGACCGGTGCGCTCTCAGCGCTCACTGGCTGAGCGCGGTGTGGCCGGTCTCAAAAAAAAAAAAAAATTATCTTTCTTTAGTTTTGTCACTCATATAGCATGTACGGCAGGGAAGAATAAAGAATGCTAAAGCAGCAAACATGAGAGAGTTCTGGAAAGGGGCAGTTAAAGGGAAAAGACAAGAATAAGGTAGCAGGTGTAATGGATTAAGAGCACATGTTTTGCAGTCAAAGAAACCTGAGTTCATATCCTGGCTCTGCTGCTAAGTGTGTCCTTTTTGCCACATGTGGCAAATTACTTTACATCTCTAATCATCAGTTTCAGCATCTGTAAATTGAAAGTGCCCAATAGGGTAAGAATTATTACTACCAACAGCTAACATTTAGTGAGTGCTTATCATGTGTCAGACAACATGCTGAGCACTTTGCATATATTATCTCATTTAATCCTCACAATTCTGTGAAGAAGCCACTATCGTTATCTCCATTTTATAGTCAAGGAAAGGCTTGGGACAAACTATGTATCTTATTTAAGGTCACATAACAGATGGAGGGATTTAAGTCCAGATGGTTTGAACTCCCAAATTACCAGAGCTTCACGAGAAGATAACTGCAAAGAACTGAGCAGTTACTGGCATACAGTAAATACTCAATAAATCGTACCTATTACGACTAAAAGGAGAAATATCTTAGAAACTTTAGACAAGCAATGGAAATACGCAGAACAGCTGACTCAAGAAAATAATATGGGAGGAAAAGGAAAAATAGGACTAGTTTTCCCTTAAAGATGTTTCAGCACTTTCTGGCTAACCCGGGCATTCTCCAGGGAAACAGCAGATATTTCAACAGGCTAAGGTACAGAATTTACAAGTCTCCACACCTCTACCATCCCGCAAACACCAAGTAGATCTGTGCTCTGTGAACTGTTCTACTAAACCTGCCCACAGCTGTCCCTTATTGGCCGCACCGAAGGCTTCTGTTTGATACTCCGAGGTTTCTAACAGTATGCCTCCCTACTTCCTACTTCTGCGTAGAAGGTAAGATTCAGTCCCTGTTCTATGAAAGAGACCTTGAATTCCATTTCCTCATTTTCTGATCCCTGACCTTTGCACAGCTGGACTAAATAAAAAGGCTAAGATTGGAGCAAAGGGATTCTACTTGGGATGCTTACCTGCTCCAGCCTTGCGATGAGCTCTGCAGGAGTTAGGACCATCTCCTCGCTACCCGCATCCGAGTCCTGTCCCAGGTGATCCAGTTCCTCTGTCATCTTCTCTGACACCAGAAACCTAATGAGAGTAAAAGCAGCAATACTCTGCAATGTGTTTTACTGTATTTGCAAGAACAGGCAACAATGTACCTGGAGAAGGAAAAGGTTTACCGCGGCTACAGAGGCCCAGGGGCCGTGGCTAGAGACCCCACAGGCTAGCTTTCCAGGGCTTCCCCTCTTCCTCCAAAGCTTAGGGCAGGTACGGGTTCCTCAAGCGAGACTCCCCTATAACTGCTTCGACTGAGCACCCACCACACCCCGCCGGGGTCATCCCTTGTCTTTCCCCCGGGCTGTGTCGGCTGCGGTCGCATCTGCTCCGCGCCTGGCCCTCCCGCGCGCAGCACGTGCCACACTCAGAACTACGGGAGGACTCATCAACGTCCGATTTCCACCGCCAGGAGGCCCAGCGGCCCCAAACCACGCAGCGGCCCGAAGGCTTAGGAAGGCAGCTGGCGGAGCCGGGGAAAGGCCCTGGAGCCTCGGGGAAACTGAGGCACATTCCGTCCCCCTCCTCTCCTTCCTCGGTGCCTCAAACGCACAGCCAGCCTTCTCCTGACACACGCACCCTGAGTCCGCTCGGACCTCACTCGGGCGGGGTGCAGACCCCCGCTGCTGCGACCAGCGCGGGGAACAGCGGAGGCGGGGATCCGGCACGCACTAGCTCACGGC